AGAGAGAGAGAGAGAGAGAGAGAGAGAGAGAGAGAGAGAGAGAGAGACAAGGGAGGATCGATCAACGCTCTGGTCCCGCCTTGTCTGCCACCGCGCGAATGTCTAATTGCTGTTGCACCGCTAACTGGGTCAACGGTATATTATTTCGGATTAGCGAGCTGAGGAGAGCCGACCTCACGATGTTGTCATCAGCTGGGAATTCGCCTAAGACAAAACTGGAATACACTGAGGGCCCCTATTCGATATTAAAACCGCCATCTGACAGCATTGAATACGAGAACATTGAGTCTGTCTTGATCTTTATAGTCATATACTTACTTTTTTAGTTTTTCAATTCCTAAATTTTCCGTTTCTAAGTTATATCTTGATTGAAATAATTTTAAAACGTGCCCTTTCTCTAGTATGTGCTAATTGTAGAACCCAAAGCAATGAGTTAAAATAATCGGATAATATGTTTTATATAGAGATGAAGTATTTTTAAGTGACACCTGTTTAAGTTACCATTACATAAGAAAATATTTTACTAACTTAATAAAATATTTTCACGATTAGAACAGAGTTATTGATCGATTCCACAGTGCGTATAATTCGCAGCATTGAGCAATTCGATATCGTACAATCCAAATGGATTTTAAACAGCTCCACGATTCAGCACAGTTTGCTCGCTTTCATTGCATACCTCTCTCGCGTTTCCTCTTTATTTTTCTATGGAGAAAGTAAATTACTTTATAGCACCCTTTGTAATCGCTCGAGCGCCTCCGAGTAAGGATCGCTTCTATAGTGCGCGAATTCGATGGAAATCGAGACAATGAACTCGGTTGGCACTCGATACCGACTGTAAGATTAACGATCGGAACAGGCAGAGTAGTTTTTCCCGTGCCTATTTGCATTTATAGTGCGAGGCAATCTTCGAGGTCGAAATTAAAGTAACATCAAGAGATCGATTGTTTAGTACCTTTACGCATATAATTTGTCCCATTAAAATTTTCAGCTAAAGCACATTATATTTTGTTTTAATATCAAATAATTATGATACGACGTCGTCGGTCGCGGCGATATACATATATTTCGCACGCGCGCGATATGTTGCGGATTAAAAAGTTATCATGTGAAAATGGCACGTTGTTTTCAATGACGTCTATCTCCGAAACTATTTCAGCTTCGACAGGGAGGGTGGAGCGCGGTCCGTGGGAAATAAAATTGAAAACATTTGATCGGCTATATCGAGCCAACGATCGCAAAACCACGTGAAGTTTCTATTCTTGACAATCCATTAGCTCCCGACTGAAAAGAATTCCACGGTATCGCACACCGTAGCATTCGATTCGGACGCATAATTGAAAAGACCCAGAATGTACTTTGCTGACGATGAAAGTTTAAGCGAAAATCTGTCGATCGGGTCAAAATCCGTCAAAGCTCATGGAACTTTTTACAATCTACTACTTCAATTATTACACATGCAATACGTTTTTTGAAGTATCCGCGCGCAAATGTTTTATTTTTTAGGAAAAATCTGTCGCAAAAAGATTACATTGATATGCAAATTTTTAAATCTCATAATTACATGTAGTTGAAGAATCAATTATTAATTTCCTCCTCCCTTTCTCTTCCTTTTTTTCTTTTTCTTGTAAAAAATGATCGTTCAGAAAATTATTATTTTACGGGTATTATCAAGTAATATAACGAATAAAAATGAAATAGTAAAAAAAACGCGTATAGGATAAATAATGGATTAAATTGTATATCTTCGATACGAGATGATAGAATACAATCGGAAGGATTTCAGGGGGATATTGAAGTTCTTGGTGAATGATATTCAGGATTAGAGCGTTTATTAAACTTCGATAAAAATCGTGGCGCAATTCCAATTCGAATACCAAAAGTTCCGCATGCGGACACAATGGAGAGGATTCCTCACAGCGGAGGATATTGAATCCGTCGTGCAGAAGGTGGAGCGGAGGGGGGGAGAGGAGGTGAAGCGAGAAATAATAAAAAGAACGCCACGCGATATCGCGTGTCCGAGAGCAGCGAAATGTTTCGATAATCGTCGAATCTCAATGAAATAATTTCACGACGGTTTCAACGCCGCCGCCACCGCGGATATCGCGCGAATCGCGAATTCCTCGCATCTTTCCGCTACTGCGCTCCGCCGCTCATGCTTTCTGCGATTAAAGTTTATGAGAATTTAGATTAGCGTAGCAGCTGTCGAGAGAGCGCGAACCAGTCCCGCAACTTCGCTCTAATTACTCGCGATTATATCTTACGCATGTTTGAATCCGCGCGATAAGTCTCGGAGAATTATTCATGCAAATACGAAAATTATCCCTATTAACTTTCTTATCTCTTTTTTTCTCAATTAAGATTTATTACATAACGTAAATTTAATTTTATTTCTTGAAAAATATCAATCATACAGTCCGCCCACATTTTGCGACTTTATGTTAATATTACTTTAAATTTTTGCTGAAAATTAGTGTTAATTTGAAATCAGCATCCCAAAAAATATATTTTGCAATTACAGCTATAAACAATTATGCATTTATATGCTGCCTGTGGAAAATAAGACTCATTTACAAAATACATTATACAACTTTTGCAGAAAATTATGTTACAAGAATCAAAATATGCAAAACTATTTGAAAATTTTTACTTTTCACTATTAGTTTACATAAATTTACATGTATTTGATATTTTGTAAATAATTAGTTACGAGAACTGATATTAACATATCGCCTAAATTTGTAAAATCCTCTTCATCGATATATTTGCACGCATGCATATTTTCATAGTAAACGCGTTTTTCAATCCCCGAAGATTTCTATTTTGAATAATTTCCATAATTTCCGCGTACTCTAATAGAACAACATAATTTGCATTCAAAATCTCTCAAAATTTGTGCTCCGTCTATTTTCTACTGCTTAAGCGCGTGATAAACGCAGAGGATTTCGCGACACCCCCCCTAAGAAATATGCATCACGCCTACCGGGAACCACGTAGCGTCGGGGCGCCCGGCAAACCCGATGATTTCGGTCGGAGACGGGGAATCCCGGGTGCCGACGTTCCCAAGCGGTGCCCGCCGTGGGCGACGACAACGATGACGAAGGGGATGAACGGGGGGGTGGTAACACTGACCTAACTTCGCGCGCACTCCAAGCCACGCCGGTCTCTCGCAGCAGCTCTCGGGACCGCTGCACACTCGCACGCACTGCACCCACGACTGAAGGTAGTCGTCGTCGCGAGCCCGTGGTCGAGGGGGTGCGCCGAGATCTCGATCGCTTGGAGGCGCCACCGGGTGCGCACCACCGGGCGCAGTGTGAGCCCGCGGGAGAGACGGGCGTCTGGGAGGGTGATCCCCGCCGACGCCGACGGTGGGGTGGATTCGCGATGGAGGAATCTGGACCGAACTTGCGCGCGTACGTTTATGCACGAGGAGACGAGCGCGACACAGTAACCGCGAAGACATCAGCTGGAAAAAGCGCTTCGCCTTATACGCGAAGAGGGTGAGAAAAGGGTTTCTCTCCGTCGAAAGGGTTGAATAGACTTCGATCATCTCGCGAGATGACGAGAAATCGATCGCCGCGATGCATGGTTTTTCTTTACGTCGGGAAAGTCTGTTTTTAGGAGACGTCGTACAAAATGGAGCAATGATCGTTGTTCTGAAAATTTGCATTGACGATGAAGACTGTAAAATAAGATTTATACAACATATAATACAAAAAATCGTTATGTACATATATGTGAAAACTAAGAAAAAGGTTTAAGTTTCATTCATCTGAAGGGATATAAAAATGACTCGGCTGCTTTCATTTCAAAGGAAAATTAATAAAAACTCTCTGCATTGTTTTCTCCCGGATTATACGTTTTTAATCTTTCATCCACAAAACAAATGGATTTGAGTTTTGTTGTTCCCATTTGACAGAAGCGGGTCTTCGCGAGGAGTAATGTTTTATTTGGGTCGCACAATTCAGCGCTCGTATCGTTAACAAGATCAAGCAATTGCACTTGTAACATTAATTGCTTGATTCTTCGAGATTACGGTAAAACCTTTTTGAATGATAAATCCCGCCATAAACACAATGCGAAGCGATTAATCGTGTTATTGCTGCTTGGATTATCTCGCTGAAAAATCGGCTAGTTTACAGCATCATCTGGCAAATACCTGAAACAAAAATAATGCTTTTACATGGAGACCATAAATTTTCGTAATCTATCTCTATAGTGAGATAGCACTTTCTTTCATCATATATCTGTATTATTCGTGATCTATGATGCGGCGGATATTTCACACAAATAGTAAAAACGTCTTTCGGACGTTACATAATAGTTGCTTTTGATGAACGAAAAATCTTTGGCTAGTGAAAATGACATGAAATAAAATTATAATCGGTAAAAATGCAATATAATTTTTAGATATTTCATACATAGAAAATATCTTCGCAAAATTTATTAGTACAAGAATTCAGCTTTCAAACTGTATGGTAAAACTGTATATGGTTGATGTATCATATTATTTTAACCAACGCCTAAATTTGCTGTACTATTATTACAAAATGTACACATACCTTTCCTTAAATAAGCGGCCGGTATATAATGATATTGGAGAGATACGCGGCTGGGAAATACGGATAGCGCGCAGGCCAGCCTCGCGTAAATTTAATTTAGCATCGCTCATGAACCTAGTTCGCCATTTTATGGCATAGACTAAGCTAACTCCATGAAAAGCACCGGGAGCAGGGCAACGGGTGTTCCTTAGCTGGAACAATGGATCGGTGTGGCATTGTATGGCGGCGCATTAACCGGCATACCGCGACGATCCCTTTAAACCTCCGGTACGAAACATCCGGCTTCCGGCAACGTGCCGACATATTGATGAATTAAAATTGCAATAGCAGAGAGGCAGAGGGAGAAAGGGAGGGAGAGAGAAGGGGGAAGAGACTTGGTTGGTCTTTACAAGTCAAAGACGAGCCGGAGTAAAACAGGCGTAGCAGAGTGAGTCGTCTCGATTCGGAGTAGCTCATTTATCACCGGACTTTGAACGCCAATCTCCCTCTCGGCAAATAGGAAAAAAAAGCAAGGAAGGGCGATGGCGGGGAGCGGAGGATGAAAGGGACTGAGAAAGTTCGGCGGGTTGTTTGTCAAGAATTAAAACTTCCTTCTTAATTCATCCGACGGATCGTTATGGGCACTTCAAACGTGCCCCAGAAATTGCCGGGATCAATCTGTACTTCGTTCGTAATGTAGATTGAGATTTATTTCTTAGTTCTCCTGTTTACTTTTATATCTTGAGGGGTTTTTTTTATAGACGTTTTTCAAAAGAACGTATGTAACTTCCGTTTGAAATACACAGCAAATTAGAATAGTTCTCTTCAAAGGAGAAACAATTGGAGAGAGAGAGAAAGAGAGAGAGAGAGAGAGAGAGAGAGAGAAACGTATGCTAATTAAGAAGTGAATTCCGTAACGTCGTGTTCTGAAATGAATTAATTGTCATCGTATTATGCGAATTGTCGTAGTAACATGCTGTTTTATCTCAAAAGGTGCCTTTCGCATCTATTCACGAGATGTAAGCTTAATTCCGTCGCGGAAAACGCCAACCGACAAAAGGCAGTATCCCTGTCAACTCCTCTTTTTACCAGGATGACGTATTTTTCTCTTGCCCATTGTGCCGCGTTACACATCGTGTGTCGAGCGATCGGATAAACGCGAGGAGATGGAGGTAGGTTGACGTGGGAGCTCCATATTGAAGGGGACTTGGCAAGATTCCAATAATCTCCTTGGATCACCACCATCGGCGTTATCTACCTACGCCTCACGATTTCGGTCTCAAACGGGTTGCCCGACCGATTTACCGTTGTCCAATGTGTACATGTCAGATGTATATATGTGTGCGTGTGTGTATCTGCATGTGTGATGTCGAGCCGAGCACGCCGAGGTGAAAAATGTCAGCCGGCGTTACCGGAATTAGAATCCGGGGAAATACAAGCCGGAAAAATACGCGATTGTGCCATCGATCTTGCGCTCGTGTCTACTTATGACACGAACACTCGCGGGCATCTTTCTCTCTTGCTGCTTGTTTGTGTGCAAACGCGATGCAAAATAGAAATAAATCTGTCGGCAAAAGGACCGACTACACTTCTGTAGCTGTGTACGTCCGAATTAAATAAAATGTAGCGACTGTCATTCGCGATTGGAAAGAGAAACATGTCTGATATTTTATAATTGTTTTCATACTTTTTGTAGCGCAAAATTGCGCAGTATGAAAAGAAAACTAGATTAAGAAGCAAACAATAATTCAAATAAAACCTTCTTTCAGACGTGAATGATTCTAATTATTAAAATTGAAGATATATTGAGTTGAAAATCTTGTACGATATATTATTAATTTTCTACAGAGACAATGTCCAGTTACAGTTAAAATCTCATTCATAATACAAGAGCTACACCGTGAGTATACGTGCTTTGAAGTACGCGCAAGACGGAGTAAATTGAATATTTTTCAAGAAACACTCTCGCTGACCTGGTAAAAGTTAGATATTCAAGACGACGGAATTTTAAGCTAGCTCGTTCCCGGCGCAGAAACTTGATTGGAGTCAAAGTGTCCTCGATGAAAATTACCTTCGTATTACCGTCGAGATTTTACTTCGTATATGTAGTCAAAGCACTCAGCGGATACGCTCGCGAGCACAGAAGTTACTATTAATTTCAAGTCCGACGCAGTTCGCGATGTTTCAGCGGCAGGAGTTTACTCAGTTTAAATCGAGTTATCGCTATAGAATTTCCAAACTGTGATCCGGCTCTCGCCAAAGCCACAGAGACGGCTATCCCTTTTATTACCGACAAGTTCGGACATCATAATCCATGATGTATATACCGTCGACTCTTAGAAGAAACAAATTCGTTAATTATTATACTTTATAGATAAAAGTTGATTAATGGATTGGTAATTTGTAGATAAAAACTTGTCTGTCGATTGTGTCAGTAATATAAATTACTGAACGGGTCAATGGGACTTCAGTATACGCAAATTGAATAAGTGTGTTCTCCGCAATATCTATTTTCACTAATTATGATATTATAAATAGTTATCGTTGGAGATTTTACAGTTAAGTCTTGTTGTTGCTGTACTCACTGTGCAATATATATGAAAATTCGGCTTTGTTTCGTTTACCGAAGTAGAACCTTCCCCGAAAGTTTCGCGTTTTGTTTGATAGCTCTTTCGGGGGCAAATCTGTCAGAATCAACAAAGCGGGCTTCGCAAAACGCGCGAGCTGCTTCCGCGGGGGAAAGTGCGCTGCACTCGATGTTGATTCAGGTGTCTGCCTTCAAACTTCGGCAAAGAAGAAAATATCTCCGTCAATATATGCCTCTACAAATAATATTTTATAGTTTAGCGCAAACATATTTCTTCGCCCGTGTCGGTCAGCGGTATATGCAATACTTTTTTCAATCTTTCGATTTTTGCGCGGCGAAATTTCTAATTAATCCCCTTTGAAATCGCGTTCTCCTGAAATAAATGATGTTTTTTTATTTCAGATAAATATCGACTGGTTCTCGTATTTTACTACTAGATAAACTCAATTGAACGGAGAGATGATCGAATGGTCATCGATTTAATTGAATTCATTTTGCATCCGGCACGGGATTAGGATGATATTTGATTAAACGATCACAATTAAAATTCAGTGAATTCAGAGACCTGTCTGTTCTTGCTAAAGAAATACAGTTCTGTCTCGATGAAACAGTAATCTCTAATTAAAACATAATGTGCTTAATAGAAAACTCATTAGTTACGTATCATTCCATTTCCATAGTTCCATTTCCTTCTAAGCATTATTATGTGATACATATGTGTGTATAATTATATTACCAGAAATTATTTAAATCTAATTAATATTAGATGTTGCAAATGTCACTCACAATCAGTTTTGATGTAAAATTTAATTTGGAAAAAAAGGAGATCAAAATAAGACAATAAAATATACGATACTCACATAGCGTATATATATATATGTATATATTACGCAATATATTAATCTTTTAAAAAAAATTACCATTTGTGAATGCATGTATAGCTGTGACTTTCATTGATTGCATAATGTTCAACTGATTGGTACCGTGATATCGGCGTCCCTGATTGTCCACTTTGCTGATATTACCGGACTAGAGCTCTTCACACATCTCTATAAGCACATAGCTCGTGTACACGGCGAAGAACGACCAACGGAGGCGAGGATTCCGTAGTGATTCGGCAATCCTAGAGAACTGCAGGTCTGCTTGCATTCAGATGCCAAGCGAGAGCAACTCGACAAATTGCGCCAGTAAGCTTGGACGTCTGCAAGGACCCCACTGCAAATTTCAACAATTCGACGACGGTGCCAACTTGTCATCGAGGTAACTCCCTTGCGCACTTTCCGCCGGGATTTCAAGTGTGATTGATTTGATTGTTACTAATCTGTGATTCTTGAAAGAGGCGCTGACTCTTTTTTTATAGACATCTGAAATTGTATTATAATAAGTTATGACAATGTTCTTGTCTGTTGTATTTTTTATATAGACTTTTTTAAGTTTTTTAAGCTTCTTAGATCTTTTTAAGCTTTGCTTTTATTTATGCTCAATTTATTATTTTTAATATTTAATATTTAAATATGTATACTTTATTTTTTTGTAATTTAACAAAATACAATTATAAGTAAAATAACTATTAGGCGATAATAATAATCACTAAGTTGGTTGCGTAATAAGAGACTTGATTACAATGATAATAGTGCTAATAAATAACTTCTAATTAATGTAACCAAATTAATTTGTTATTAGAGAAATTAATCAATTGTGAACTATATATATTTAACACATAAAAGCTGCTACATTATTATTTGTGGTTTATCGATACAAATGCATTTAACCTAATAGCACTCAGCCGAATTATTCTGAATTCTATTAAATATCGTACCACCGTTGATGTATGAAAGTTTAAATCAACTAGCATGATTAGCTGGTAGATTAAAGGGACCATTTCTAGAAATTTGTACGGTTTGTGTATATGGCTCTCATTGAGATTTATGAATTATAAATGTTCTTTTCTGACCATTAAAACATCTCCGTATGATTCGTTAGCTCATCACACAAAAGTTATTTATCTTCTTTCTCAACAGCATTTATGGATATACTTTCTTTAAAATAGAAAATTATATATATTTAACAAAGTGTTTTGAACGTTTAGGATCTTTGTAAAATTATTTCTTTGTTATCTAAACTGTTTTATAAAAAACATATGATCTAATTATAATTTATTTGTTAAAAGTGATGCCGAGCCTTAGTCGCGTATCAAAAATTATAGTTTTTGAAGCTTCATGCTATAAACTATATATTTTTTATTAACTTTAGCTTTCAGAAAAACATATATCTCTCTCTTTTAATAATATATCTATTTTTTTAATAACATAAAAAAATCTAAACCGAGGCCTAAAGTTAAAGCATCTATTATCTGTGCTCAATAAATGCATTTATGTCATTACGTTACGCGATCTTATTGAAGGCGGATAAAGTAGAGAACTCCGCGATGTAGAGAACTACGCTTCTATTTCAACACGTTACACTTACCAGAAGAAGCATAGTTGACTGTTATCAGCTACTGTACAATTATACCGGCGCGATAACATTACAGAGTTTTACGATAAATTCTTATCCGATTTATAAGACTGATAATCATTCATCCACCTATAATATTCATCCATCCATAATAAATTTATGAGATCGATAATTATTTATCACAATAAATTTATGAGATAAATAATAACACAGGCACACAAAAAATAAAAAGTGTTCTTGGCCGAGACACTACACTAGTGTATTCTCATGTATTTTGACCCGCTGAATCCGAATCCGAAGTCAGAATTGTCAGATTGGCTCTCAGTTCCGAGCAAACCTCAAAAAAAGTTCAAAACTCCACGAAACAAACACTTTTTTTTTCAATCATTCACTATGATAAATTTATGAGAATATTTTATCAATAGCACAAGGAGAAATTTAATTTACAATACCATAAATTACATACAAAATCCAAGATTTAACATTGCCGTAAGATTCCTATTTTTATTCAAAACACGAGTTTTGGTACATCGAGAAATTATGTGAACTGGGAATATGCAGATAGTTCCGTTAACCATTTGCAGTGAAACCAAAGTGACTCACCAGAATCATGACAGTTTCGGGTTAGGTTATTTCTGTGATCGCACTAGATTATTATTTCAAAGCATACACAGATATATACGATCTAAGCACATATGCTGAATAGTATATTAAATAGAAATATTAAACATTTCTAATTTTAATAATATTGCATTAAAGTCAATAAAATTAAGGATTTGTTAATAATAAAAATTTCTATTTTATTTTTAGTCAAATCCTTCTCTAAACTTCAAAAATATCTTTTTTTAAGACATACATATGGAAGTAGAAAAAATATAGTTTGCAATACAGTACAATAAATAGGTATTTAATCACGATATTAATATTATGCATTGTCTTGTGACAAACAAAATACAATGACTTTTCGCTATAATTTTATTAAAGCAGCAAATGGTTATAAAAATAAAATCACACATCAAAATAACGTAAATTCTTTTATCGATAGCAATAAATTTTTATTTTTTGGCAATCATGTACAAATCATTTTGTGGAATGTATAATAATGCGCGTAATAAATTATCTACATTTGTGCATCATTTCTCTCGGCGAGGTCATTGCAGCCTCATTAATTTACTGTGCTGGACATTATCGTGATCGATAAATTAGCAGAGTGACTATACTCTTGATAATAATCGGTAGCACAGTTATTTCGTGGTTGACATGTGCTGTCAGATAAATATATTCTCATGTGTATGTATATATAGTCATGTGTATGTTCATGACGGACACTTCGATAGCTTTATAAATTCCTGTTGTCTTCAAAATTCACAATAAATTAAACGTAAACAAAAACCATATAATCGTATTAATTTGTTGTCAGAATATAACATATTTTCATGAGTGAAACAATTATAACTTCGTGTAAATTCTTCTTATAAATATAGCTTATAATATAGCTCATTCACACCTAATTTTTATACGTTTTAAATAAAAAATACAATTAATAGTGATTTAGAATCAGATATAATCAATATTGATTAATATTTAAATAAAGATACCGTGTGAATTACGATCATTAAATACGATTTTAAAAATTATTAATATATTCCGTTTTTCCGTTTTAATCTGACTAGCTATTTTAATGTCTCACAGTTCTTATATTATTATGTGCAGAAAAGCGTTGATAATTCTGCGATACTGGATATAAAAGGTTTATATTTTAACGTCACGTTTCCAATATCAGGGAACGCAAATAATCTGTCGTAAAAATCCACGGAGTGATATCTCTACCACCGATATCTCTAGTGATCGATATATGTAAACTTCCACACCGTCATCTCAAACATACTATTCACGAGTATAGGTGATATCGACGACGCGATTTTATGATGGTATTAAAAATATTATTGACTGTTGATATAAATCACGATTCGTATTTCACAAGTAAACTGCTCTAACGCACTGTCGATTAGACGCTTCATATGGAGCTAGAGTTTAATCTATTTATACTTAAGTCTATAAAACATAGAAATACTAATAATTTCATCATCATAGCAATAATTAACAATTAATGTAATAACGTAATAAAAATTATAAATTTTACGATTAGTTGTTCAATGCAGACAGCAATCGTAACATTTGTTCCATAATTTTGTTTCTATAACTTCCAGTAATTATTTAACAATCACGTATCGAAAATGGGACAACTTATTTCTTAGACGAGAATCTCTTACCTCTCTTTAACATATCAAAATTAAAATATAGACATTATTATATATGTTATAATAATATTGGACACACAGCATGAAACAACGCGCTATATACCACAAACCGTTTACAATCGCTGGCGAATGTTCTTAACGATATAGTCCGCATTTGTGATAACATTTATGCAAAGATACAACACCTTTCCACTTTCTTCTTGTTTGTTCTCTGTATTTATATAACTTTTTGCTGATTACAGAGAAAGAAATCTCTTCTTCGATTAGGTTTTAAAAGTTTTTATTAATTATCACCTTATTACCGCTTTTTCACCCTTTTACGATAGATTATAACTTTCGTAATGCATCCTGCGATTGTCATTTGATCTCTCAATCCGTAGGTTCCGATTTGCAACACGTCATTAATTTATAATTGACCGCATCCATCGCTTGGTTCAGCTGTTCCTTGAGTTCCCGTGCCTTCACGTACACTTCCTCCCTCATCAGATTGTAGCACATGGCTATCAGGCCCATGCCTAGCAGCAAATACACGAAGTTGATGATGAGCTTTGTCTGGCTGTCCTGCGTACTTTGGCTCCAGCCTGGAACTAGGTCGCCCATGCCGATTTTGCAGAGCGAAGTGACGCAGAAGTAGGTACTGTCCAGGTAGTCCCACTGTTCCCATTCGGCGAACATGATCGAGCCGGCCAATATGTAGCCGAATATCACCCAGAGACAAGCGGTCGAGGGCACGATGATCCTCTGTCCAGGTTTCCGTTGACCGGTGCACTCGTACAATCGCGTGTACAGCCACTTAAAAGTCTGCGCGAGCACCTTACCCATGTTCAAGAAATAGAGCACGTACAGCGGAATGCCCAGCACAGCGTAGATCACAGTGGCACCTTTACCCACCTGGGTCTTCGGCACCAGGCTGCCGTAACCGATCATAGTGAACACCGAGAGGCAGAACATCAACGCCGCGGGGAACGACCATTGATCGACGGGCGTTAGGCCGTTGCACTTGTCTTTCTGTCGTTTGGTAATATTTTCCTGATATTGTTTCAGAATACTATTCGACACCATGTAGAAGGTGGTCCGGTTGAATATGTTTACCGACTGATTGCTGGCGGTGCTGAACCACAGCTCGTCGGCGTATTCCTGACGGATGTATTCCCGCACGCACACCGACGCCGTCGGATCGACCTGGCCTTCGATGCTTATGAAGCCGAAGGCACCCACAATGGCATAGCCCACCACCAGGCCACCCACGCCGACCTGGGTACACATAAACTCCACCAGCTTTCGGCAGCAGTCCTTGATGCGCTCCCGAGGATCGATCCCGGTCGACGTCGAGGACGAGTCTCGGCTCCTCAGAGAGGATCTCATTGGGATGCCGCGCGGCATGTTTCGACGCGTGAACTACTACGAGTTTCCGATCCGGCACGAAGAGACTCACATGGAACACCACCTTGGCTGATACTCGACGACTCTCCCCGTGCCGCTTTTCTATTTCTGGTCGGAACGCCCTGTCGCTCGCTTCTCGTTTCTTCCTTCAAGATTCCGCTGTCTATCGGTCTCCGTTTCTCCACTTTTGTCGAATCATACTATACGGCACTCTGCCACACTGTTTCATTCTCGTGGATTACTTCCACGAGATTAGAATCGCTGCAGTGGTCTTACGTACGTTGTTTTAATACGATTTTGCGAACGATAATTCGCAAAGTCAAATTGCGTTGTTGTTTGCATTGTTTTAAACTTTCGATACTGAAGCCGGATTAAAATAGATGTCTCTGGATTTGCAGTTTGTTTAAATTCTCCAAGCTTCAAGAAACCATGTCATTGTTGAATAAATGATTTAATACTATGTATAAAAGTTTTAAAACGACTTATCAATCCACTACTTTAAAGAAGGTATAATGTGAATTACGAGTTAATCGTTGTGGGTCTATTCACATAGAATTTTAAGATGTGCAATTTAAGAAATTTATCTTCTTATAAATTCTACGAATGTCAAAAGTTTAAAATTTTGATAAGAGATACGATATTGTGATATTTTTAGGTAACACAACATTAACGTATATGTACCGATATTTAGCAAAAGAATAGCTCCGTTATGCAGCCACTAACTACATGCAACTAACTCCATTGAGTTTACTATTTTTACCAGCATATCTACATAAACGGTGTCCGGTAAATTCGAAGGGACGAGTGTATATGGAACTTGAAATAGTTACACGCGGTAGTGGCTGTTGCCAAATAGTATGCTGCAACACGAGACAAATAAACAGCTTTCTTTAATTGTAGACAGAAACATTTCATGAAGAATTATAATTAACCACATTATTAGATATATGTCGTATTATAAAATATACCGATTATAAAGAATTTTTTTATCCTTTTTGTAACTTGCCTTATCGCACTAATTTTGAAACACACTGGAAAGAATGAAATGTGAAATAATATCAAGTGTGATAGGAACTTTAGAGCAGCGCAGTGTGTCATAGTTATCAGCATTCCAAACAGCATCACGAGTATATCGGAACTTGAGGGGGAGATAGAGAGAATCGTGTGACATAATAAGCCGCATCAACGTGAAAGGGGAAGAGTTCCCCTTTGTTGAATTATTTACCCTTTGCAAAATTATACGCAAAATTACATACATACATGCATAAATTTAATATTGCTGCCCGCGAATATATGCTCGCTTAGACTTTAATGAATGCGTCCTCATATCAACTTAGATAACTGCTTGCGTAGACTGTAATGGATGCATCCTCATATGAACTTAGATAATCTTACCAGGAATTAAACATATTTGTCCAAGTAACCGCTTTTAGAAGCCCATGCGTTTGTATTATGAAGATAAGCGAGATATTTAGTAAAGAAATGCTATATGGTTTGACATTCGACATACCAGAACAATAATAAACTTTCTGTAATAAACTTGATATGATAAGACAGAATAAGTTAAACCAATAGTATATTACTTAATGTAACATACTTTTTCTGACTTATTTTGCTCTGTAATTACTTAATGTAATTACTTAATGTAATGAGTTAATTATATAAAGTAATAAGTTTATTACTTAATGTAATTACTTAATGTAATTACTTAAAAGTTAAACTAATTAGTGTATTTATAAAGTAAAAGGAACTAATAGTATTTTATTATTTATTATAATTTTAAACGGAAAAATTATTGTAAGACTTAAAATACTGACAAGTTTACTTTATTACAATCTGCGTAATCAGCTTCATGCTTTGGAGGCATATATTCCGGCATCTTATAAATGCTCTTGAGGGTGTGCGGAAGAAGAACACCACGCCTTTCGATTTCAAAGAATCTTAATAGCCATAATGTATATCACTTTTGATGCATTAAGAATGACGAGAAACAGGGCGGACGTGTCACGAGAAGCCTGATTTTATGTCGACATGCCTAAAAATACCTAAACTTATTACGAGTAATTTGAACTCTCGACATACATTTGAAAATTGCTCCAACATCTTCAACAGTGTTTCGATTAAAATTATTTCTTTCTGTTGAGCGCCGAATAGAGGTAAAGTAGAAACAGAGTTTTAAACAGAATTTTATTATAAAACTATATATTTATAATCTCCAATAAAAAGGCAAATTTTTGATTAGCGAATTTCGAGGTTGGCTTGTCGTTTCTATTTATCACGAACCACATCGCAATTAGAAAAAATTTTGCAATTAAAAAAAGATTTCTGGTCGAAATAACTTCGTTTTCTTGTCAGTTATAATGGACATTTGAATGGCATCCGAACAATTAAAAAGTTACCTGGTGGCTAAATTAGAAAATCAATTCCAATTGCACGCTGTAATTGAACGAAATGCAATTATCGCAAAGGAGATTATCCGATTCCTCTTTTTCTATTCCTTCGTTCTTCTGTAAAAAAAAATGCTGAGTTCGCGAAAAATTCACTCGAGCGCACTCGCGGTTCTCAAATCGACTGATCAAAACTGCAGTTTTGCACGAGTTCGATACGGTAACGCGGGGGTTGGATACGTCAGCCTCTCGGCGAGGAATCTGCCAGGTAGATCAGTCGGACGATGAGCCTCGTCCAAGTTGTGTCTCGGCAAAATAACAGGTGTACCGTATGTGAAAATGGGTTTAGGTCACTTGCTGATGGTTACATTGACGTTACTCTGCACAGGTAAAAACATTTCGCGACTTTTCGATAAAGTTTTGCTCCCTTTTATCTTATCATACTGATTATTATACCGGCATTTTAAAAACATTAAAAAATGTTAATTTCTAAACGCATGAGTTAGAACGTATGCAATATGTCAAATGTTGAACACAAGAAAAAAAAAGTAAAAAATAAAAGTAGATAATTATTTATACACATAATTAAGTAATAATTTTTACACATAATTAAATACAAAATAAAAGGAAATAATTATATATTTTTGGAAAAGAGAAAAAGAATCTCGAAGAGAGTTAATGCGTGCAGAGTACATATATTAATCTTATTCTGAAACAGCACAAAATTTCGTTTAAATTAGCAATAATTAGTTTTTATGTTGATATTGTCATGTTTTTTTATCGCTCGCAAAATTAATATTTAATTTAACACATTAATTTGTTTTTTATTTTGTATCCTCAAATTTCTGAAAAATATAATCACTAAAAAGATTTCTTGTTCTTTTAATATTGTAACATCTATTTGACATTTAAAAAATTTTAATTATGTTAATCTCTAATAGAAACTTGCTTGTTTAAGAATTTATTGCTTTATTATACTCTTTTTCAAAATAAGAAAGATGTATTGCACGTATATAAATATCATTTCGCTAATAAACTTATTTCTGTAAATATGACTTTTGAGAATGTTTGTGCATGAGTGACTTGATGACGATGACTTATTTTAAGTGAATGCAAGATGCACGTAACATGGCGGTAGCGCTGCGCTTATACTTACCTGCTGACCGAATACTTACGTCGATCGGCTGATGAACGCATATAAACCGCGCGTCTAAATTTAAGATTTGGACCATGCTTTGTTCACGAATTTAATTTTACTTGGTTGATCGCTTCAGCTAGCGCGCGATGACGGCATTTGCTGCGACGGAAATGCAACGTCTTATTCGTTTGTCACAAATTTTAATTACATTATGAATGTTAATTCACAAAGTCTTTCTTTTAACAGCGCGTTTGGTCACACTTTTTGCGCCGGCTTTGAAGATAGAAAAGAAAAAAATTGCAAGAAATCTTAATTATTACATAATCAAAAAGAAAATAAAAAATAGGTCTGCAATCTTTATGCCTTTTTACTTCTCATTAGGCGTTTTTCTCTAAGAACGTATATTACTCGTGGCAACGATTGATACATAAAAGTGCATTCATTCAACCAGTCAATGTAGATTGAATGAATCACTCTGCAACGTTCGCTCGAATCACGACCATTTAGTACAGATGAATAAACGCATTCGACTATTTGTACGAAAAGTAATCCACTTTGACGAATTAAAAAGGAGAGCAAGTATTCACCGCTCCTCTTTACGCTATCGTTAATAGAATGCGCTGATAATCAAATGGTCGGTCGGTCGGTCAGTTGCATACTGCGATGACTATGACCTGACATAGCCTGTATATACGTTAAATCTCATGCGATAGCTCCTAGTATAATCTCGGGGTTATCCAGTTAGATTTACGTCCGCGTTCATCAGTCGTACACTCGTCGTCATCGCGCTCGTGTGTCACCCATCGCGGTAGTCTCAGGTGGTTCCCTGCGATGCGTCTCTT